GGAAACGAAGGGTGTCCGTACCCGAAGTCAACGCCAGCAGGAAACGGACCAAAGAAGATTTGGTGGTGCAACGCCGCAGACGTCGGAGGGCCAGCCGCCAGCTGCAGGCCCGTCAGTAGCTCCTACATCTGCAGCATCTGACTTAGGTGCTTTGATGGTGATGCTGCAGAAGGAGGCTCGTCGACAGGAGGAACTGGCTTGCCGACAGGAGGAACGGGTCAGTCAGTGGATAGATCAGCAGGAGGAACAGGTCCGTTGGTTGGAAGAACAGCTGCGGGGTAGACGGGATGAACAGGCACGTTGGTTGGAAGAGCAGATGCTCCTTATGAAGGACCTTCACGCTACCTTCGGGAAGGAGATGAAGGAGGTGAAGGATAGGGTTGCTCAACATGACAACCGTCTGTCAGAAGCTGAAACCCGAATTGAGAAATCTGAAACCCGAATCGAGCAAGTGAACAATTGGGTTGACAACGTGATGGCTGACGTGAGGAAAACGCTGGACGACCTCAAACTTGGGGATGGAACAACAGCTCCCGTAGTACACACTTCCTGGATTCAAAGTGCCACAGTTCGACGGGACTTCTTCCTGGTCAGCCTACAAAATCCAGTTCGAAGCTGTCATGGAGGCGAACGGCTGGAATAAAAGCCAAGCCATGACTGCACTCACCCTGGGCCTGCGCGACCAAGCCTTAACTGTGTTGGAAGCTCTCGGTGAGAAAGTGACCTACGAGCAGCTCCTTGAGGCGTTGGAGGCAAGATATGGCAACGCTCACCTGGAACACGTCTTTCGCGCGCAGCTTAAAGATCGCGTGCAACGCAGCAACGAAAACCTGCAGCAGTGGGCCCTTGAGGTGGAGAAGATGGTTCGAAAAGCATATCAGTCTGTACCTGCGCTCATTGAAGGGAACCTGGTTCAGACATTCATCGACGGCATCCGCAACCTTGAAATCAGAGCTGCTGTGATGCTCGGGCACCACGAGACGCTTAAGGACACCTTGGCCCATGCACTGGAGGTGGAAGCCGTGCGGCACGATCTTCGCTCCCATCGCGTCAGGGAGGTTGCAGCAGCTACGGTTCGCGAACGCAATAAAGGATACAGCCCTAAGTGCTATGGCTGAGGAGAAAGGGGCCATCTTCGATCCAGCTGCCCTAAGCGAACCGTAGAAAGGGAAGGTGAACGATATCAGGAGGGTAGTGCGGCTAACAGCCCCGCCCAGCAGCAGCAGGGAAACGAGTAAAAGCCAGAACTGCGGGGTGGGTGCTGGCTGATGTTAAAAGAGCCCCAAGGATCTCGATTTCACAAACCCATGATGGGAACAGTCTGATCATCAAGGGCGAGGTCAACGGAATGCGAGGTCAAATAAACCGACCATAGATACTGGAGCCTCCCGTACGGTTATTAGTTCCCAACTTATAAGTCAGTTCCTTGGGGACTCCGCATACAACCGAGAACGCATTAATTTGGTAACAGCCACCGGTCAGCGTATACCCGTCCGTGGAGAGAAAGAGATGGAGTTGAAGCTAGGTAACATGATCTACCTGCATAATGTCATCGTGGCTGATATAATGGACGACTGCATCCTGGGCCTAGACTTCATGAGGAAGAATTGTTGTGCGATTGACGATAAGCAAGGTGTTTTGAAGCGTGGACAAGAGGAACTTTTTGTGGAAGGGGAGTTACCAGGGAGCGTGTACAGCCTTAAGAAGATTGTTCTTCCGCCGAGATCGGAAACGATTGGGCCGGTTAGTCTTCCTCGGAATCCTGGACAACCTCATCGTTGTGTACTCGTGGAAAGGTTAGACAATGACCTTCCATGAAAAGTGGCTCGAACCTTGGTCAGGACCACTAACATCTCAAGAGTACGTGTGCTGAACCTTTGTGACCAGGATCAACGATGTAACCTACCGGATACAGAAAGGCGCAAGAGGGACTCCTAAGATCGTCCATGTGGATCGCTTGGCGCGTTATTATGGGGCCGATAATGCTCGGGACGAGCATGTCTTAGGAGGGGGCAGTGTTGCGCGCCTAAGTTGACGTCATGTAGTGTCAGGGACGAGAGCGGGGGGAACTTTCCAGAAAATGACATCACTAATCTTTCAACCGACAGCGCCATCTAGTGTCAAAACGAAGAACTAAGCTTCTAGAAGCCGACACCGTACTTTCAACGCCTTGCGCGTATTTACTTGAATGTTCTGGATGTTTCGGTGCTAATGTGTATTTATAGGCGCTGCAAGATGCGATCGGGGAAGTATTGAATTTGGCGAGACAAGCGAAGCTTCGGAGCGGAATAAAGTGAATCAGTGTAATTAATTATTAGTGTTTTAAGTTTAATTAGTGTAAAGTGAATTGAAGAGTTAATTTTGGTAATTCTATCGGAAATTTTTATTGTCACGAACCTCAAGCTCGTAACAATATGAAGTAGCCAACATTCATTTATCTTCGTTTTTATTTTTCAGTGATAAAAAAATTAACATATAGTTATGTTATATCCACGGTCGATGTGTGACCGGCACATACGGATTGCGCCTTGCCACTAAGTTTGCCAATTAAATAATATAATTTCTTAGCATCTGATAAAGAGGGATTTATGTATAGTATTCTGAAAACTAGCAATAAATAACGGCCAAGTTTTAATATCACCAATAAATATTGGGATAACGATAGGTGGCTATATCTAGGTGCATCGCATAAGTGTACTTGAACTGCAGGCTTTACGTCACTCTGAATTACAAGTTGAAGCCGCCTGGCGGCTCACTTCACGTGGCATAATAAATCTTCAAATGATGAAAGCGATTTGGTAATTCACTATATAATCGGGATCAATTTGCGGTTCAAGGCTATCAATTTAGTGCAACAAATTTTCAAAATCTGAGTTCAACGAGTCTATAGTTTGTATTTCACACGAAAATGTTTCCTGAACGGATTCTAAGTGGACATTTTTTGCATGATCACAAATATTTTTCATACAATAAAACAACATATCTATATCATCGCATTTCATTCGCACACATTTATTTTCATTTTTCAGTACAATAATTAATATCAAAACAAAGGAGCAAATCGCGTAGCAATGAAAAACTGAAAATTAAGTGGCGTATTTATTATGTACGAGCAGATAACTAAACCTGGCGCTGAATCTATTCCAAACAACAATAAATCAGGTAATGTATAGTTAGTGACACGTTGTTGTCCTACGAAATAATATTAAATTATAATACTTTAACACAAGTAAACTTCTTGTGCGGGTATGTACACAAAAAGAAATTCTAATACGAAGTGCGATCAATTACCTACACGTTGCAGGTACAATGAAAAATATTCTAACGAAAGAAACGATTTATGCGTAAACAAGACGAATGTTTGTGCATTGTAAATGCGGAATGCGACTATTTGTAGCGTGCACTAATCAAATAAAAACAAGTATTTATGCGGGAATACACTAGTGTATACAATTCATATAAAATATTATCAATTGCGATGCGATATAAGAAAATGGATATCTACTGCGTGGACGAACTAAATAAAATAGGTGTCTATGTACCTATAATAATGCGAGTGCAGCTGCTACTAAATAAAGATAAAACTATTGCGTTTTGGCGGTAGCGAAATTAAAATCTACTAAGAAACTTAGGCACGACTAAACCAAAATGTATTGTCCAAATTTCAGTTCAGCAATTCGACTTAATTGGTCAATAGGTCGCTGGTTCAAATCCGGATCGACTGAACTAAAAATTATGGGTGTGCGAAAGGTGATCAAAGGTATGACAAGGCGAACGATCAAGTGGAATGTGTTAGCGTGGTTCAAAAGGAACCAAAACAAAATGGTGGGCGTGGCCCGTGGCTTACTGTGGACAATATATTTGCTTCGAAATTAATTTGAGACTTTGGCTGACATGACAGGAGATGAGCTGCTATGGATAAAGGAACAACAAATAAAACAGCTCGTAAATAAGGATGGGCACTTACCTGGGGGAAGCGACGAGCGGCCTCTCTCTTGACGGCTGTGCGGGCACGACGAAAATTGCAAATTGACTGCTTAACTGCCACGATGATGGCGGCGCGCGTCTTCTTATAGCTTCCACCATCTCCATTTTCTACTTGGCGGACCGCGTCTCTCATTAGAGGACCAAAGATGCATCCACCAGTATCTAGCTCCCCCCAAATTTGCAAAAGGCAGGCCCGTGCGGGGAAGGAAGGGTAGAGAGGGGTATTATTTCAGCCAACTCAACTAACAAATTCATCAATAAATACGAAATTTCAACTTTGTGCGTTGCTACAACTATTATATATAACACTTATATACCTATAACTTGTGCTTGTTCCTAGTATTTGTAGAATCTACATCACACTGTTTTAATAAAACTACTTTATTTTTGTATACATGCATTACATTTTCGTAAATGTATTATTAGGTCATAGCTAATATATTAATTTCTCTCAATTTCTATCTCAGCGACTCTTTAAGTTTTATATCATAGAATTCTTTAATGGCCCTCTTCTGCAAAACAAAGATGGTTTTAATGTCAGCTGTATTACCCCATAGCAAGATTCTATATAACGGTTTAAACACATGTAAGGTTTTTTCCAGCATTTGCTTCAGAACTAAGTTTGCGAGCTAGTTGCAATGTATCCATTGAAGCTGCAATTAAAATTTCGAGAAAAACAGTGGATTAAACATTTATCCATTGGAAATAATGACAAACCTCCTATCCCACGAATTCTTAATAACTGTGTATATTTATTGATTTTTACACTTTATTGTTTCCAACTTAAGAAAATATATCAAATGGGGGGAGCCTTTGGGCATTATGTCCTAATCCATGTGGACGTAGTGGGATAAAGTGATAGGTGTATTATTATATCATAGTTTTAATTTAAATTCACTTAAGTTTATTAGTACTGTACATAATTAAACTCAGGTTCGAATTATATAAGTACTTTAATATTTATTTACCTTAAAACTAGGAAAAAATATTTTGCTAAAAATCATATTATTATATCAGTTTTTGTTCTTATCTAATTTAATAATGTCGTCTACTGACTTCACCTTTTTTGATTTTAAGTCTTCGTAAATTTCCTCTAAAGTCCTTGATTTAGTTTCTGGAACCGCAAAGATCACGTACAACACTGTTAACAAGCAAATCCCTCCAAAGAAATAGAAGGCCACGTAAATTCCAATTGAGTTCGCAAGGGGCTTGAAAAATAACATCTGCAGAAAGTCCGCAAACGATGCTGTAGCCATAGTAACAGCGAGCACTGATCCACGGAACTAAAAATTCAAATATACTGGTGTTTATTGCAAAATATTTATAACAAAAATTGACATACACATGGTGACTAAAGCGCCTTTCACACAATCCATCTTGCTGTACGTCCCGCATTTACAATGCAAGATGGAAAACAACAGTGGCTAGTCTTGACGTACGTCAATAAGAATACTTGCAGCCTTTTAATACGTGGTAGAGCCATACTGCAGTTATATTATTAGTACCTATAGTTGTAGCACGAATAAGTCGGCTCGACCGGGGAGCGTGGTCCCTCCTCTCACAGAACACCAGCGTCAAATAGTAATAATTGTGTTTCGTATGGTGAGTGTAGAGAACCGGAGACCCTTTTTACTGGAAACGAGGCATTCCATCTTAGTCCTCACGGGTGACAACGCATCTGTATTTTGATTCGTAATCGATAAATGTAGATGTCTATGGACCACAGCAACCACTTACCATCAGGTGAACTGTGTGCTCGTTTGTCACCCTAACCTTAAAAAGCCAACTTAAAATAAAAAAAAGGCCGTCTTACACCTGTAATGATACTAGCGTTCTATACCCCAGACTGTATCACAGCATCTGCTGTGCATGTACTAATATTTGGTGGTAAAATTAGTTAAGAAGGCAGTTCCTACACAAATTGCGTCCCTAGGCAGAAAAGGAATCCTAACACCAAGGCTGTGGCCAATATACATGTAGGTGCACTTTCACATAATAAAAAATAGAATTAATTATTACAATTTGAAAAAGATATCTGGGTCTCATTGGCCACCAAATGATACACAGCGGCATTGTGTTGCTATTTCACGCCAGTATTCTTCGTTACCACATAGCCTCTTATATTTTTGTGATGTGAAATTTAGAATCTTTACAGTGAGAAATGTAACGCTAAAAAAAACTTGAATTTACCTTAAAAGAAAATATTTCTCCCGTGAGTACAATGGACACTGGTTGTAGTCCCGCTGAATCACAGAAGATACACATGCAAAGCGTTACAATGGGAAGCCAATTGGGAGTGTAAGCTCCATACGATCTTGCTAAAAACCATGATGCTAGGGAGCACATGCTTAATCCTGAGATCAAAGAGGTGGTGGCCAACAGTGACTGGAAACAATATGAATTACAATTCTAATTATAAAAATATTTTATTTTTATCATAAAGCGAGTCCTAAAATAAATTTGAGTCAATATGCTTACAGTGTCTTGGTAGCGTAAGAACATCAGAAGTTAATAGTCAACCCACCAGCCAAGCGACAATTATACTAAATTCTAAATGCAATGACAAATGCCTATCTCATGTCCAGCAATGAAATTTTACGGGCTGATGAATTAGGAATGTATGGTAGTGAAAGTTGGGTGTGGCAGAAGAAGCACGAGAGTAAAATGAACGCAGTAGAAATGCGGTCGTTAAGAAGTATGTTAGGGCTGAATCTGAATGACAGGGTGAGAAATTGTGTGATAAGAGAAGAGTGTGGTTTGCAAGATGATGTTGTGACCAGGATTAAGAAAGGAATGCTTCGGTGGTTTGGACATGTGGAAAGAATGAATGAGGAAAGAGTGACAAAAAAATTTATGTTGCAGAAGTGAATGGCAGAGTCGAAAAGGGACGTCCTAGGCGAAAATTTATCACAAATTCAAGAAAACGGGCCAAAAGTACCCTTAACCACACATATCTATATAAGATGTGAAGGAGGAGAGAGGTGTGTCAGGATCGTCCAAAAAGTTCCTACCCCTCTGAAATGAACTCTATTCCTATCTTAAATTGAAGCTAACTTCTTTTTCTATTTCAATTTTCTTAAAAAAAAATCAATCATATAGCATAGCACAAACAAATTCTAATTAATAATACAAGGTAACGGTTTAGTGGCGGTGCAAGAATACCTACCCCAATCCCCAGGGAACGAAAAATTATCTACCTGGTAACAACTTAAAATTATATAAAATGACGATTGTTCCTGCCTGCGACGCATGGCAACTATCGCAAAATCCCGCCTAAAATAAATGATTCCTTAAAATAACGCGAACACTACACATTAAATAAAACTATTATTTGCGTAAATATTGTTTGCGTAGTACTATTGTTTGCGTAAATTTAAGAAATCATTATGTGAACCAGTACGGACTGGTAATAGCAAATAATAATTAAACGCGATAAAATCCGTAAATAATAGTTTTATCCAGTACTTTTATGGGCTATAATGGATGGATTGATAAATATAAGGTTACCACAGGTAGCGTAGTGGCGGTGTAAGAATATCCAATACCGAAGTTATTTTACCTTTCTTCCAATTCTATCAACAACATTTGACGCGAGCGTTGAACCTAAAACTTGTACAGCTCCAAGAAGCATTGCTTGTTGATTTGGTGTGAGGACCAGCGCATTGCCTTCTGATGCATATGTAAAGATCTCCCCAGCAAAATTTAATACTGGTATAGCGCCGCAAACTTCTCGAGCGAGTGTTGCTACCATCGCAATGCGAAAGGCTCTAAACAATATTTTGTCTTTGACTGAAAAGAGAAAAATAATCAATGTTATTTACGACGTAACTAAGGTTAACGATAAAAATAAGTAAGTAGTTGAAGCAATGACCCACAGGCCTCTTTGAATAGAAGTAAGGGCGATTTATGAGCACACAGTCCACCTGATTTTAAGTGTCAAATTTTCTTTTTTCATTAACCAGGGGACTGTCAGGTTGGGTCATAATGCCCCGTGATGTTTTTACACGCGGGTATTTTTTATAATTATAGTGCGACGTTACCGTGCTTCTCAGTAGCTGGAGCTAACACTCTACCCCTTTTGATTCTTATGTCTGTTCAGTAGAATTGCACTTGCACTGGGAATTAGACGCCGTTAAACGCAAAAAAAAAAAATATGACCCATCTATACAGTCGGTGTAACTATTTTGTGCCAAGTATTTTTATTTAATATTTGATTGTTAAGTTTATTTTTTATGTACTTGTATTACTTTTTTAGTTCTTAGTATATTTATATGTTTTTTAATTATTTTTAAGTTATATTTTTTGGAAAATGGATCAACAAGAACTTAAAAGCAGCGAATTTTGGCATATTGGAAGAAAGTGACTACGATGAAGTTGATTACTCCATCGTACAAAGAAGTGATCGCCGAAATTGAACCGTATTTTACACACCGTATTATAAAAAAAAAACATAACAATATTAGAGCGGCGATGGACTGAGTGTATCACTCTTGATAGAGTTTATTATATATATAATATATTTTTCTTACTTAGACTCGGACTTATTGAAAGATTTTTAGTATACAAAAATAACAAAATACAAGATATAAAGCGACGCAAATTTTTGAAACATTTGGGACTTGCACTTCTGGAGGATCACTTGAGAACTCGCAAAGACGTATTACGTTTGGCAAGAGAGATGCGCAAAAGAATCAGGGAATTTACAGGAGAACCGTCAGAAGAGCTATCTGCTAAAATTTCAGATGTAAGGAAACGGTGTCAAATATATCCTGCCAAAAAAGATAGAAAAATTACCCACACCTGCCGCATCTGCAACAAGTTTATTTGCCCGGAGTACATAATTCCTTACTGCAGCATAATATGTTCTGATTTACACGCTGACAGTGAATCATTTTAAGACATAAATGTAACTTTAAAAGCTAATTTTTTATAGGATAGGATGACAAACGAGCACACAGTCCACCTGATGGTAAGTGGTTGCTGTGGCCCATAGACATCTACATCTATCCTCGATTACGAATGAAAATGCAGATCAGAGATATCATCCGTGAGGACTTAGGTGGAATGTCTCGTTTCCAGTAAAAAGGGTCTCCGGTTCTCTACACTCACCATACGAAACACAGCAGTATTAAGCTACTATTTGACACTGGTATTCTGTGAGAGCGTGGTCCTTCCCCGGTCGAGCCGACCCATTCGTGCTACAACTATACTACTAATATAGCTGCAGCATGGCTCTACCACGTAAATCATCAATGATCAAGTAGCTCGTGCCACTACCGGATGCAGTCCGCAGCGCTGCTCAGAGGGGATCATCGCAACGCTGCACGACGAGACGGTATATTGATTAAAACAACATAGTCATTAAAACGAATATAGTATTTAAATCAAAAACATTTATTTTTTAACAATCACAGGCATAATAAACAGTATTCTTTATTTGTTATATTGATTGCTATAAATTGTCTTTAATCAAACTACGGGTAAAATTACAGCGTCGCCTTTAATGCCTTTAATTAATGATGTTATCACAAACAATAAAAAAAGTGTCGTACTGAATAACATTGACTAATATAGAGACGTATGTACTATCGTGTCTGTATCGCTGTTGTAGGAGACATTCAAGAAATGGTGATAAAGTTTCTGATATATAATGTAATAAAAGATAAGAACGTGGTGACATTTATTTTTGATTTAATACATTTATTTTTAATTTACATAATATGGATTTATTAAGTTTACTAAACTTATCAAGTTTAAGTACTTATTGTTTTATTACATCGTTATAAATCTTAAAGTTATTTAGATAATGATCACGTAATATTATGACAATGATTTTGTGATGCTACTGCGTTTACATTTTTTTTAAAATATCGTACTAGTCATGTCTTTAGGGGTTTTTAAATATAAGAGTACGCCAACCAGCATGTGGCTCACCTGATGATAAGTGACTACCACCACCCATGAACAATTGGAACACCAGAGGAATTGCAGATGTGACCTTTTAAATGCAGGATCATCATAAAAAGTGCGTAGAAGAGTTCTTTTCATGACGGTGGAAACTTCTGGTTAATCGAATAGTACCTAACCGCCAAAAATAAAGAAAAGTAGTCTGATGCTGGCTGAGGCAACAAATAAAATGCTTTAAAATTGAGGAGTTACGTCAAAAGAATACTTTTGTAGGGTTAACGCCTAAACCTCAGTTTTTGAGGCTTAAATTGGACTAGATTTAGTCACTACTAGACTGGATTCGGAACATTTTGTTTTGGCACTCGACGTAATGCATAATTTAAATCTGCAAGCTATAAATTTATCCTATAGTTAGAAAATTTAACATACTTTTATGCGTAGTGGAGTGGCGTGGGAAACACAAAGCTTACGCTAAAACTCTATAATCCTCCCGAAAGTAAAACAGGGCAATCTTTATAAGCAACAACTCGGATACAGACTTGGATCAGTCACTCGATTAATCCGCATATTGAATGCGGGCGAGAAACTTCTGTTAGTAAACAAATCCGAAATAACACAACTGTTATTGTTGTATTTATTAAGTTTAAAAAAAAGTAAATACCAATAATGTGATTAAAAATTAATTATATACGAAAGGTAACGCCATTAAAGGGTAAAATCTTTCGAATTCGGCATTTTTGTAGGACTTCGATTCAACCACGCAGCTTGATTATGTCTAGTGAACAGTGCAACTGCAACTAGTTTTATTCAGTGTTGCCAACATTAAAATCTAGTTCCCGTTGTAGAGAACACTGTAATCCCGTCAAATCCCGTCAAGGACGGTAGACAAGTGTCAATCATTCATTTCTAGTGACCGAATCATTCTAGTACATTTCGTCACGCATACTAGTACATTCGGATCGATCATTCAAATTCGGGCTCCAGTACTCTGTGGAGTCTGTGAGATCCATTGGGAACCGAACATTTTCTATTTGAGATTTGTAATAGCGCCATCTACTACTTGCTATAGGTAATAAAGTCATTTTATCGAACTAAAACTCATGACTTTCAAGGATATCACAGGATATGCGACTCAAACAGTAAACATAGAGAATTAAATAAATAGAGTAGTTGATAGTTTTCTATATATTCAACAGTAGCGCATCATTTTGGCCGATCAACGACAAAACAGTTTTCGAGCTGTATTTAAAAGAATTTCGTCAAATGAAAATTTACACTCTCAACTTTTAAATATAAGGATGTATTGCAAATTTTTTCGTATTTTTAAACTAAAAAATGAATAAAATTATAATTTAATTTTTGCCATTTCCAAATTATTTCTATTTCGAAAACAAATCTAAAGAAACATTAATTTTTGATGTCCCGTTAAAAAATCCGTTAGCCGCACAACACAATTTTTTTGCCTCGCTATCCCGTCAAATCTAACGGGAAACCCGTCAAGTTGGCAACACTGGTTTTATTATACGCGAAGGACAACTGGGAGTTGTACCTTGAGGGATACGCCTGCGTATGGCTAATGCCCTTCGCTCCAATCCGTCGGTGACACGTGTTACTCTATATGTTGAAACGCTAATTGTAACATGTCATAGTATTACAATACCTATTTTTTTAAGTTACATCAGAATTAATAAGGTTTGATAACTTTCTTATATAATCTGTCGGCATTGTGTTTTCAACTATTATTTTTGAATTTTCTCCGCTTGATTAAATACGAAAAAAAAAGCATTTCCTTTTACTATTTTTTTTTGTGTTACTAATGAAGTTAAAACTGGAGTACCACAGGGTTCATTTTTGGACCTTTTTGTTCTGAGTTGCAAATGATATTGATTATCCTATTGACATCTTTATGCTGGTAATGTATAAAGCTTTAAAAAAATTACAAAACGAAATAATTTTTTGCTATTTTAAGCGACCTTAACGTAAGCGATTTCAATTAACGAAGTGTTAACCAATAAAAAGTAGATTACAGACCTATAAGGATGTAGATAGACTTAATTCCTAAAGAATTTTATTATGTTCCCTTAGATATAAATAATTTTTAAGCTATTGCATAGCTTCTATCGCGGGCCTTGAGCGCGGGGACCGAATCCAGAAATTCCGTAACGAAAAAACCTCACGCTCCCCACTCCGACGGGCACGGAGGTGTGGCTTGAAGGCCGTGCATTTTCTAACGTCGTTTCTTTTCGGCAGTCGACACGGTGTTTGTGTGCGTGCAACTAGACGTATTGTACGACTCTACGAAGCTCGCACGAATCGAGACGAGCTGCTCCGAAATCGGACGAATACATAAGCAGCTGTTTATGAGAAAGTATATAGGTGTATAGGTATTTATGTACAACAGTGAATAGCTGTACTTGTAAAATTTGTGTATAAAGTGTTTTGAATATGAATGAACAAAGTGCATTTATTATTTATTTATTTAATAAAAGAAAAAAAATTGTTTTCTTATCGGTCACCACGCTCAAAAAGTGTAACTTGAATTAATATCAAATAAAAAGAAATACTGCATAAATAAAATAAATAAATAATTATAATTGCATAAGTTGATACAAAATGCTATGCAATAGCTTTACCGCGGCAGTCCCCGAGTGCCACACGTCTTTTTTTGAATTATTTTTATCTAAGGTAACGCAATAAAGAAAAAACGCAAAAAAGAGCTCCCAAACAGCACCCTCGTCAAACACTAGCGCACTCGAGGATACTATCACCGAGCTGAAAGTTCAACTTTATAACAGAGACCAGGAGCTCCTATCCAATGACGTTGAAATATCCGGCATAACTGAGGTTGGAGGAGAAAATCTTATGTCAACAGTTACCGTTCT